AACATGTTCCAGATTTGCAGTGCAGAGAATAGCTTTTGCTGCCGTGCTGACAGACATTGGAGTACCTTGGAGACTTAACACAGTCTTGGGAGCTGAGATCCCTGCAGAGTGCAGCAGGAGCAGAGCACTCTCGTGTATTTTCTAACCTGGCACAATATCTGTTGCAGTCTGGCATGCTGGATTCACTGTGAAGCCAAAGGAGCCATAAACAATTGATTTATGTCTTGTTCTAACTAACTTGTTCTCAGATTCAGACAGTTGCAACTCTCCCATCAGGGCCTCCTAGAAGTGTGTGGTATTAAAATTTACATGAAAAACAGGATGCCAGTCTCCATACTGAACCTCTACAACCCTAACAAAAATATTTCTCAGCAAGCCTTCTCTCACTACTTCTTCCAACTGGAGCCTTCCTGCCTCATAGTAGCCCATAATCCGGGCCACTTTAATGCCCATAGCTCAATTTGAGAGCCAGGAAAATTTTCAAATCAAAGTTGCAAGAGCTTAGAGAATATTCTACTCAATAATACCATGCTTTCTATGCTAACTCCTCCATCTTTGACAACATTTGATAGTGCACATCACAACACTCTCTCTACTTTGGACCTCTCAATATTCTCTGCAAACCTCTTACCATTAGATTCCATGCACATGGGAGGTGACATGGGAAGTGATCACTACCTGCCTTGGTGTTGAGATCTCAACTGTTCAGTACTGAGCTTGACCCTGCTGGAGGTTCAAAAATGAGTCATGGGGTGCATCACTCGTGCACGGTCTGCTGCCCTGCAGCAGAGAGGCACAGTACCATCTGACATTAAGGTCAGTTGCACAAACTTTGCAAATCATACCATCTCTGCCAGTACAAAGTTATTTTCACAAACTAAGGCAATTATTACCCCAAAGTATAACAAGCCTTGGTGCACACCAAGCTGTGCCCAGGCTGTTGAAGCTAAAATGGCTGCCAAGAGAGTATTGATCACAGCCTTCTCCAACCAACCTAGTAGCATTCAAGAGATGTGAAGCTAAGGTTAAATGGGAGGTTAAAGAGCCAAACAGAACTCATGGAGGAGTTACTGCAGCAAAATCACATCCAGCACTCCTAGACATTTCTCAGCTGTAGAAGAAAGTAAAATCTCTTTGCACACCATTTGTCCATAGGTCCCAATCTGTAATTTTGCACGACTCAATTTTGAGTGACACTCACTTGGCAAAACTCTAGCTCTCTTCCTCCACAATGAAAAAACTTTCTTGTGTCCAGCCCCATCTCCCTATCCACCAAATGTCACGCTTCTCTTGGGCATTGCATTTAGTGACAACTTGAACATTCCCTTGAATGAACCTTGTAGAATAAATGAAATTTTCTGTGTTTTTTTCACTTGTTTTCCCATCATTGATATGATATTACCATATCCGTACATTATTGTATTATTGATGCAATATTACTGTATCCATGAACATACCATTGTGCAATTACAATGACCTTATCCACTGCAAGTTTCATATCAGCAGCCTTGTAGCATTTCTTCTGATTTGTAAGCTTGAAGGATGGCTTATAATTTCACATCATTTTAATTGGGTTGAATGAATTCACTATAACAAAAAAAGATCGTAATAACATGCCTGAAACCAAAAAGAATATTTGAATGACAACCAAAATATTTTTTGGAGAAATAAATCACAGTTTAGGATAATTACTTTTCATTCTATGTTGCCTGGTGCACAATTCTATCTATGACATTCTCTGCACAATTTTGTGATGACCGATGATGCATTAATTTTTCGTTAAGTGCAACTTTTTTTTGCTGAGCAAGGTAAATGAAATCAAAATTTTTTGTTGTTAATTGATTTTTTTGTTAACTGGAGCCTTTGCTAATTAAGGTTTTACTGTAAAAGCATTTTTACAGACTGTGTCTCATTTAACCCCGGGAGGGGTGTCCCGTCTCACAGAAATCGCTGCCATTTTTGGGAATGAGATATGAAAAGTCTGTCAATCACGTTTTTAAGCCAACACCTGTGTGCAACTTTTATGTAAGTAAAATTTTTTGATACGGCAAAATTTTTTTTTTACAGACCTTAGCAAATCTCGCTTTTCACACTTTATTCAGGGATTTTTTAGGGGTAGTAAATGTATGAATTCCTAACTTGCTTTATGCTACATAGATAGTAGAAATGTTGAACTTTATGCCACTATTTTTAGTTTTGCAGGATTTTGATTGGTTAAGCTGCTACAAACTTCTACAAAATGTGGGATGCCTGTCCTGATTTACCCCACCTGTCCCTTATTACCCTGTTTAATGGTAATACATGCATGTATTAGTAACTTCATACATACATGTTCAATAACTGTGGCATTTTAGTTGTTGTTGCAGTATTCAGTGCCAACTGCCGCTGCCCATTCTGTGCAGCTTTCCTGCAATGGCATGGTCCTACGCAGTATTGAAGTAGTTCTGTGCTGACTGTGCAGTTCATTGATTTTGGGTAGGCCATTTTGCACTGGAAACTTCCTCAGAGACTATATATATCTCATTTTGCACAGGAAACTTCCTCAGAGACTATATATATCTCATTTTGCACAGGAAACTTCCTCAGAGACTATATGAGTGGTTTAATTTCACCCATATATATATAGTCAGATGGGGTAAGACAGGACCGAAATCACTAACAAGCATGTAGCACCTAAACCATGAATAATTGAAAAACCTTGAACCTACCAAATGGTATGTTGGTGCAATGGACTTCTATCCCCCAACTCATATTTTTTGAAAACTGAACCTTTTTTTGCACAGAGCAAAAAAAGTGGACTGGTCCCATCTTACCCCACTGGGGTAAGATGGGAACTAGGCGGTACCAAATTCGGCAAAAACAAAGAAACACTAGCACCAACATACAAACAGTTCATCAGAACAGTGCTGGCTTATGCCAGCCCCGCCTGGGCGCCCGCACTATCCAACACAAACATACAGAAACTCCAAACACTACAAAACAAAGCACTTAGGATAGTCACAGGCTGCACACAAAGCACCCCCATAGAACACCTTCATGCAGAAACAAAAATACTTCCCATAAAAGCACACCTCGACATGAGAGGAACACAATTCATAGCCGCAGCCATAAACAACACACAACACCCGTGCCACTACCTACGCAACCACCCACCTACACACAGACAAATAGTGCAAACCCCACTCAGATATTACACCAACATACTAGACACAATACCCCCACCCCAAGGCAACACCAGCACAAAAAAACACTTGCACACAATTATGACACTTAGATCGCTGGAGCTGGCCGGCAACAACAAAGTCCTTGGACACCCACCACCTGACATAAGCAGCACAGAAACACAGCTCTCTAGACTGGAGAGAGTACACCTAGCCAGGCTTCGCTTCGGCCACCACCCCTCACTGCAAACATACGCAAACAGAATAGGCCAAGCAGACACAGACACCTGCCCATCCTGCCAGAGAGCTCCCCACACAATCACTCACATTCTCCTGGAATGTCCGCTCTGGCAGGACCTCAGACAACACCACCACATAACCTCGACCCTACAGCTCTGGAGCGACCCCCTGTCAGTGGTGTCGTACTTGCGCGAGGGGGGTCTCTAGTAAAATTGAGACCGGGGAACCACAACAACAACAACAACAACCACTGACAATTCCAGTGGATGTTCATCAATCACAAGGCAGCTGCTCAGGTGTAGTACTTACCAGTTACCAAGCAGGCTCAGCCTCTTGTGAGTCAATGGGGTCCAGCTGGTTCCACGGTTGTTGCTGCGGAGGAGCAGGGGGCTGTGGACACCTTTGCAGACTTGAGAGGGATCATGAAGGAGGAGCTGGCTTCTAGCGAGAAAAGACTGGATAATGTTATTCGTGCTTCACTTACTGGTTTTTCTATCAGATTGGGTCAATTTTTGAATGAAGTGTTTAAGCTGAATCTAATGAATGAGGGTACAAAGGAAAGATCTCTGCTGCTTATTAGTTTGCTGAGGAACGCTTTTGGACCGGAGGTTAGTGAGGCACTGCAGGAAGAGTGGCTGCCGGCCAATAGAGTTGTCTCTGGACAGGATCAGACCCCAAGGAAAAAGCCCTCGGAAGACTGTGTCACAACCATTGTGCAAACAAAGAAAGTGGCTGGTACAGAAGCAACTAGAAGTTTGTTGCCCCTGGGAGGATCAGCATCTTTGCAGTTGAACTGTGTGCTTCCTAAACAAGGTGGACGCTCTAGGGGGCAAGGCAAGGGTAAGTCTGCAAGTAGTAGAGAACTATCTCAATGAGTTATAGACTGAAGACTCAGCTTTTGACCCGTCCTCCTAGAAGGGAGCTGGGCTTGGAGATTGTGCAGCTAAATTGTCATGGCCTGCATGGGAAACTAACGGAAATAAAGCTTTATCTATAAAGAGAAAAGCCAGATGTTGTGTGCCTCTGTGAGACTTGGTTGGGAGTCCATGAGCCATCTTTTGTTGGTTATTCTGGAATGTGGTCACATTGGGAAAATGCATTTAGAGGTGGCATGGCAATTTTAGTTCGGAGAGATCTTCAACAACAACAGTTTGATATCCCGATATTTCCAAGAGGTTCCAATCTTGAATTTCAGTCTTTAAAGATCAACACAGCACTAGGATGGATTGCTATTGGCAATTTTTATAGGTAATCCTATAAAAATAGGTAGCTGGACGTCATAAAATAGGTAGCTGTCATAAAATAGGTAGCTGGACGCATGGCCCAGAATAGTTTGAACACGCTTCTACAGTCCACACAGATGTTAAGCATTCCATTTTTTACATTTCAAGTTTGTTTTTCTGGATTAAACACCTGTGTGTATAGGCAATACACATAAATGATAAAAATGAATACAGCATTCAAGCACACAAATTTCATTAGTTTTTTCACCAAATAACATGTGTATTTGACCATTAGCATTCATTTTCTTTATAAAAAACTGTGTAAATATGTAGTTCTGTTGAATAATGTTATCCAAAATATTTTGTTTCAGAAAACAATAGGTAGCCGTAATGTCAGGTTGTGACCGTTGTGGTGATGTTATTGCACAAAGTCTCTTGACAACTGATGAGCAAGGCTACACTGCTATTCATCGTGCCGTTATTGCAAACGATCTTGCAATTCTGAAGTAACTTCTTCCATATGTAGGTAAGTTGACAGCAATAATCATTATATGAGTCATGTGTAACAATTATTATTTTTTATCTTATTTATCCATTGGTGCTTTGAGTTGCTGTTGCCAGCTAGTGCTATCCAGCTGCAGTCCTGCAGATGGGGTAAACTCATCTATTATGCTTTACTGAAATTTTGCTGTAAGTGAATGCTCCATGAAATATTTCTGCTATTGAATAATAAGTATTAAATTATATTATGAGAGTGTGACAATAGTAAGAACAGACTCATAAGCAATGACCCAGGAGTAATATGAATGCAGAAGAATGAAGTAAGAAGTTAACTCCATGGAAATGAAGTTAGGTTGTTAGAACTACAACAGATTATCATCTTTGTTGAGCCTAAAAGGATCATGGGGTGAATAGGTTGTAAACTCACACATAAACAACCCATTGAAACAGGCATTCAGCTGGATGCAATGGCAGCTTATTTTTAATGCAAACCTCATGGCAGTGATTTTCTCAAACCAATCTCAATGGAATGTTACAGATGGAGACAGAACAATTGAAAAACCTCAAACAATTTCAGGTTAAGCAAAACTAATATGATTGAAAATAAAGGTTTAGGAGAAACTAATAATAATTAATTTAGTTATCATTGATCAAATTTCTACTCTCATAAAATAATGTAAACTGATAGACTAACTAAGTATAAACTACATTTTTTTTTTTTTGCAAAACACAGGCCAGTATAAAGTTTGTAAATAGAAGAACCATATGCAAAAGTAAACAAAGAATAAAATACTTAAAAAAAACTTTTCGACCCACGTTTTTTGGGCGAGCCACAATTTATTTTCTACTTTTTAGTCCACAAGAAAAACGTGGTTTTTTAAAAAGTTTTTTTTAAGTATTTTATTTTCTACTTTTTAGTCCACAAGAAAAACGTGGTTTTTTAAAAAGTTTTTTTTAAGTATTTTATTTTCTCCTTTTTAGTCCGTTGCTACACATGAAAAACGTTGTTGCGAGCCAATTTACTTGACTTGACGTATGTATCGATGATACGCAGCGTAAGCGCCTGCTGGTCTATAACGTCAGCGCCCGCACGTCATACTATATACATATATACTATTTATATATACTTTACTCAATTAAACTAATTTAGGTCTCTAATTGCTAGTTTTTATGATTGTATCTGAAATTGTTAGGCGAAAATAGCCTGCATGCCGAATTTCAGATCTCTAGAGCAATCAGAAGTGGGCTAATTTTCGTTGTCAATGTTAACAACAAACAAACAAACAAACAAACGCGAAGCTAAGCTAAGAAAAACGTGTTAAAAACAGTAACAATCACCAGTACTGTATGGTAAACAATCAAAACTACCTTCCTCTTACCAGTGCAACTCTGACTGAGGCAATCTCTGATAATTACTCTACAGATTGACATGATATTCTGTATGAGCTGGAGAGATTAAAGTGTTAGTTTAATCATGTATAATTTATCAAGAGTATGTGCAGTTATTGTTTGGTCTCTGCTATTGTTTGGTCTTTCTTTTGAAGTTTTCTTCTGGTTAAGGGAGATAAACAAAATACGTTTTTAACACATTTTCTCATTTATGGAAAAATGCACTATTGTGCTTGCCATGTCCGTCTGTCTGTCCATCCGTCTGTCCGTCCGTCCGTCCGTGACCTCAAGTTTTCTGCGACGATAAAATGCGCTCTCTGTCACTCACTGCAGTGAGTACTGAGTTATATTTTTTCTAAATATGACTCCCAGCTCTTGACACTCATGATGAATAGTCGTCTCATCTGCTCCAAAATGTGATAAATGCTGCACAAAAAGTATTCTAGTTTGAAAAATCACTTCTGCTTTTAACCAATTCACACCTTTGAATTGATGTTAATCAGTGTCACTTTTTTTTTTGGATGTGGTGGAGAATTAAACAGACATTACATTAAATGATCATGAGAATATAAAAAAAAAACGAATAATACATTACTACTAAGCACTGTTGTCCATTTCAGATAGAAGGTACATCAACAAGGAGAGCTATGATCGATCCACTGCACTCCTGCTTCTCTGTAAAAGATTCACCGCTCCAGAGTCTGAGGCAGAAAAGCCTGCTCTGCAAACAGAGGTTACAATTTCCTGCACTTATTATGAATTATAATGCTTGACATTTAAGGTTCAACTATTTGCAATTAATAGCTTATAGTACTACATGTTGCTGGAAAAGAAACTTTTTTTATGATGTACAATAATTTTATTTACAGTTCCTTGCTTCAGCTTTCATTTTACAAGCCCATAATCACATTTATAGTAATTAAAAACAAAAACGAGTTAAATCATTTCTAATTATATCATACTTGCATATTTTCTTATTTTCTCATATTTATGCACTTCATTTCCAGATAATTAAATTTATAAATATCAAGCTTTATTTTAAATCCTTTTCTGATGCATTATCATTTATTTTAGCTTTGTTTTTGTTGATGTTCTTCCAGGAAGAGATTCTAGTGAGCCTCCTTGCTGCCGGTGCTGATCCCAACCTGCCTCAGCCTGAGCCTGTCTCCCTGCCCTTACTGATCAAATTTCTACTCTCATGAAATAATGTAAACTGATAGACTAACTAAGTATAGACTAAAATTTTTTTGCAAACCACAGGCCAGTATAAAGTGTGTAAATAGAACAATCATATGCAAAAGTAAACAAAGAAAAGCAGTAACAATCACCAGTACTGTACGGTAAACAATCAAAACTACCTTCATCTTACCAGTGCAACTCTGACTGAGGCAACCTCTGATAATTACTCTACAGATCTTATATATGTGTTATATGTGCTGTTATTTCTTTGAGATTTTCCTGCATGTTAGCTTTTTGGAGTAGAGAATGATTGTATATGATATTTTACAGGAAAATTTAAGATATTCAGTTGTAAGTATTTAAGGAAACCCTTTAATTTACTGCTGAATTGTGTGATTTCTGAAAATAAAAAAAAACTATTTATCAGAGAACGAGATTGGTATTTAAGTTACTTGTACAATGCTATGAAATTTTTCACTAAGATAATTGATCATTTCTGCCTTAACAAAGTAAAATGCACTAGGTGAAGTAGCAGCTTTTTACTAGATGCGCGTTTTCCAGCGTTGGTGGCGGGGCGTGGAGCTACTGTTGGATGCTGGGCGTGGAGCTACTGGCCGTGGATGTAGAGCACAACCTGCAGCCAGCCATATTCTTAGCCAGGGTACGAGCCTCCTTTGGTTTAAATTGGTACTTTTTTAATTAAATATAATTGTTATTTGTTTCTTTGCTTGGCTGACATTTTGCAGACTGTGAACAATATTTAACTTGCCCATTCTTGGATGGCTCTGGTGAACTTTAACTTTTTGGGTCTATGTCATTACATCATATCTTAATACGTCATTCATTTTGATATCCTCCTAATGTATTTAGGAGAGGAGGATATAAAAAATCTGCATAAATTGTTTGCATGAGCTTTTTCTGCATTAATTGTGTGAAGAGTAATATATATATCTGCCTCCCAGGTCAATGTTGAAATTCTCATAAGACTTCTAGAAGAAGGCTGTGCTAACGATGAGGTCTGCTCGTGGATTGCTGATGGAATTTTCAACAAAGCCCAAGTGAAGAAGCTGGTAGAGGCAGCACACGAGTTCGGACCGTGAGTGCCAAACAGCATGTGATTTAATACTGGCCCTGAGGTTATAAAACATACGTTAGCTTGTGACCAATCCTGTAGAACATAGGATCAAAAGTAGTAGCAAAATAAGCGATCATCAGTATGACATCAGCTAATCAAACATATTACAGGTGGTCAAATGTAAAGCAGCAGTTGATCATGATTAGTTTGCTAGGTAATCAATATCAGATATTGAGCAAATTTGATAAAACCTTATCTACTGAAGTGTCAGCAATGTCATTCCTTTAGGATTTTGTGTTCAGCAATGGAGAAACTCTGGCAGAGATAATGCCTTTTTTATGTTCTGTTCTGATTTTAATCTAATAAATCATTATGTATTAATCAATCATTTGTTCTTTGATATTGGTCTCTGAATTTCTGTTCTAGAGGGTTTGTCACAAAAAGTCTGCTGTAGGTATGAGATTTTGTTACTAAGGGACCATGACAGTGCAATTTACCTGCTGGATAATTTCAAACTGCCTGAACGCGACCTATATAATTTCATCAATGACACTGATTGGTGGCAAACAGTTACTGACTGGAACCTAAAATGAAGTAAGGGCAAGGAAATTTGCTGAAAACGAAGTTTATGGTAAATTTCCTCGTTGCCCTGTCCTGGTTTGCATTTAGAGGATATTGTTGGTATATTATTCTGACAAATGAATGTGATGCACTAAGATGAATGCCTGTTATGTTTGGCTAAATTTGTGACTAAAACATTGCGTTGAAAATTAGGAATGATATGTATTGCTTGAACCTGGCGTCAAGCGATAATTGGGGTCATTGCTGATAACGATAATTGTTGCTGAGGAACAGGAAGCTTACACGTATACTTCTAGAGCAGGGGTCTCAAAACTTTTTTCACCAAGGGCCAAGATCAAGCTTACTGAAACCTCCGCGGGCCGGAGAAGTTTGTGGGCGGAGGGGGGAGTTGTACAAATTATGAATAAAATACGATTGTCAAAATTAGCGCACGAATAACTATTTTATTCTGCACTTCGTCTTGCGGAGCAACTGTACACTATTTTTCGACGCTTATTCTCCGCTTAATCTTGAATCTTTATCATTAATTGGCGTGATAAGCACGGTTTCTATATACAGAGGGAGAGGGGACATAATAATTATGACTATAATTATTAGAGTGTAATCTTAACAAATATTCAACGTGAAACAGCATTAATGAAAACCATTTAATTGTTTCTTTTCATACAAATAGCATTGAGTTATGGATCAAAATTACTGCTTCCTATCATCAGAATGGATTGTAAATGTTCGTCGGATAAGGCTGCCCTGTAGCTAGACTTGACATACTTCACATTAGAAAATGTTCGTTCACATAAATAGGTTGTGCCAAAAACGGAAATAAAACCACTAGCAAAGACTTGTAGATGAGCATATTAATTGCTTGGCAGACACTTGTAAAAGTCGATCAGTTTACCTTCTCTGAATCTGTCCTTCAATGTGTCATTCATTGGCTTGCCATTGAATTGCCAATTGAAGTTCAGATGACAAATCTTCACTGGCACAATCAAATAGATTTTGGAAAATATTTAATTGCTGCAGATGCAAAGCGTTCTTAAAATTACTGTTTCAGATTGCAAATAATGCCTTGCGCAAATCTTCTTGGGATGAAGATTGAGTTTTTCGATCAAATTTTCACAACATGGAAAGTGCTTGAAATAGTTCCTCATCAACTGGGTCTCAAACAAAATAAAATACCCTTTGTCGAAACGCCTTCACTTGGGTATACATGTCGCAAATGTCGCCTCACAATCGAAGATTTTACTCATTCATGTGTGTGGTCAGATCCACAGAAAAAGCTAATTTCCAATGTGAGTAGCGGCTGGGTCGATTCTTTTCATTCAGGAATATTTCAATTTGTGCTCGGAGTTAAAAAAATCGTGACGACACCTTGCCACAGGTAAGCAAACGAACGGAAGTGTGAAACGGTAAATCTGGATATTCTGCTTCTATCTCCTCCAAGAAAGCACGAAACTAACGATGGTTAAGTCCGTGATAACGAATGTAGTTCACTATTGAAACAACAAGTTCCATCACAGAAGATACATCCATATATTTGCCACATAGTGCCTGCTGGTGAATAATGCAGTGAAAAACCAAACGCTTGGGACAGCCCTCAATTGCAGCAGCTTTGTACATCTTCCCAACTAACCCTGCAGCTGAAGATCCGCACATGTTTCTTCCACTATCGGTTGTGACTCACTTTAACCTTTTCCACTCCAGGCCGTAATGCAGGAGATTTCTCGACTTATTCGAAAATTTCCTCCCCTGTTGTTTTACCTTGCATGTCCTGCACAGTGGCCAACTCTCAATCACTTCAAAATCTTTGCTGACCCCACGAACAAACAGCAAATGCGAGGTAGAAGTGACATCAGTTGATTTATCAAGCGCGAGAGAAGAGTGCTTGAATTCTCTGGCTTTTTCTTTGAGTTGAGACACTATATCTATTCCAATATCCTCAACTCGACGGGCAACTGTATCTGCCGAAGGGCTGATAGTTTTAGGTAAGTCTACTTTTTCCGGACAGAGTTCGTTGGCTGCTTCAATGATGCATAATTTAATTAACCCACTATCGGTAAAGGCTTTTCTCGCTTTGCCAAAAGATGTGACACACGGAAACTTGCTCTTGTTGCAGCTTCAATCTCGACATTCTTTTTCTCGAACAAAAATTGTTGCGCTGCCAAGTTGTGTCTCGGCGTTTTCAGCTTGTCTGTAAGAAGCTTTCCTTTGAGTTGCGAATAGTTTGATGAGTGTTTTGTATCATAATGTCTCCGAATGTTGCACTCTTTCAGCTCTGCAATACTATCTTTGCATATTAACTATAATGCTCTGTTGCCAATTTATTAGACTCGATAAAAAAGTAGTATGCAGCCCTCTTTTCCTTGAATTCACGGCATTCAGAGTTCACATTTCTCTTCTTTCCTTGTCCCGACATTATCACCTGAAACACTTCCAAACTTGGGTTCACACTGGCAAGCAGACCTGAGGACGATAATGTTCTCCTCAATCAAAGGGTCTTGGGTGGTTCATGGCAACATTTGTAAATATTTTATCACATTTTAGAGACACCAGTCAGGCAGTCACGCACATTTACTGTTTTTTAGTTCATGCGTAATCAGAGATGAGCGCCACATTACGAGATGTACACATTATGTTGAAATACGAGATATACTCTGCGGGCCGGATGGAACCTAGCCGAGGGCCGGATCCGGCCCGCGGGCCGTAGTTTGGAGACCCCTGTTCTAGAGTGAAAATGTTGTTGCTGAGGAATAGGAAGCTTACACGTATACTTCTAGAGTGAAAATGTTGTTGCTGAGGAACAGGAAGCGTGCACATATACTTCTAGAGTGAAAATGATGTTGCTGAGGAATAGGAAGCGTGCACATATACTTCTAGAGTGAAAATGTTGTTGCTGAGGAATAGGAAGCGTGCACATATACTTCTAGAGTGAAAATGTTGTTGCTGAGGAATAGGAAGCGTACACGTATACTTCTAGAGTGAAAATGTTGTTGCTGAGGAATAGGAAGCGTACACGTATACTTCTAGAGTGAAAATGATGTTGCTGATGTTACGGCCGGCCTCTCAACAAGCCTGTTGCAAGCCTGGAGGACAACATACAATGAGGCTCGTTGGTAGCCGAGATTAAGCATGCTCTGTTCAGCATCGGCTATGAACGCATATCCTTCTTTTCCTTGCCAAATCGCATATTCTCGCCTTACGCATATCCTTGCCCTCTGCGGTACAAAAGCATCTTGCCCACCACGAATCCTTCCGACCGCTCCCATATCATGTTTTGTTTCAATCCCAGCTTCCACTTTATACCCCAACCCCAATCTATAATATTGGTCTTCTATTAATGTAGCTCTCAAGCAGGCTTCATTGTTGACTGACTCAAAATGTGTGAACTCCTCAGGTGTTCTACTCACGGCAGCATCTGTAGCGGCATTCGTTACAAATGGGCACATTGTAAAGCTCTACAGGAGAATCATGTCTGGTGCCTCCGATGCTATTCTGCACGCGCCGGAGTCTGGATACAGAATATTACTCTCCGAACTGACGAAGAACTGCTGCCGTGACGGCCAGTATTGGTTCAGGTGTGTCTGTGGTAATTGTTAGGATGAATCTTGAGTTCTATTGGAATCTTTGCGCAATTGGGTTTCTTTTAGCAACTGCTTCTTACTCGGAAAATTTTAGTTTTTAGTCTTCAGTTCATCAAGTTTCTAATATGCAATGTTGCGTTTGTTGCTTCTCAAATTCACGTTTTTAGATACTAACAGACTTCAAACATTACCTAATAATCCTATATTTGTATATCTCAGGTCGTCCATGCTGACTGGTCTTTGCAGGGACTTTATGGCGTATGATGATCCTACTGTTACAGCGCTGCTGCTGCTACACTTCGGCGTTCACGACTTCACTCAGTACGAGGAGTGAGTGATAAGGTCAGACTCGTATTTTCAAGTATGATAACCTTGTGGGGTTCATGGCATTCCTAGCAGGATTAGAAGTCTTGCTCGTGAAAGGCTCTAAAGTCTTACACTTTGAAGTCCTTCTCTTACATCAATCCTAACTGTGAGCTGAGCTCGAACTATACAGGGTGGTCCTGTAATTGAGACCTACTTAGGTGCAAGAAAATTACCTACAAAGCAAACAAAAAAAATATAATTCAGTACTCACTGCAGTGAGTGACAGACAGACGGACAGATGGACGGACGGACATGGCGAGCATAAAAGTGCATTTTTTCCATAAATGAGATAATGCGCTAAAAAGTTGCTATGTTCCATGATGCGTTTTATGGTCCTCGTGAAATTAACGTATCAATAAATGAATCGTCAAAACGGGTACAATATCGTATCAACAAAACGCGTACAAAAATTTATATACTTGTCTGCAAAGAAAAGTTCCTCAAATCTGCTGTTGCGTGAAACTACCAAGTACGGAAATCAAACCTAACCAATACCAGAAAATAATGACATATTTGATGCGTGCCACACATATGTTTAATTTGTTCATGACTAAATTCATAAGTGTTTGGTCTAAGGCGACGACACAATGGCTCTTTAGAAAAGTGGTGTATATTTCAATATTTTTTTATATATATTTCAAATATTTTTTATATATCTTTTGTTTATATATTGATTTTTTATATCATTTACCTATCATTTATGTTTATTTATAATTTGTATATTATTCATATCATTTGTATATTGATGTAATTTCATAAAGATTTTTTTTTATATTTATAAGCGGTGTATATCGGCTTAGTAATTAGTTGGTTTTCGGCAGGGTGGAGGTAGATTGCAGCTCTGAAGGCCCTTCCGGGCTCTCTGCTATGTCCGTGTTGCATCGCTACGCCCCCCGATGTTGTAGTTGCCCATCCTGGTAGTGGCGACCAGGGAGGGAGGGTGATAGGTCAGTTTTTCCGGGCACTCGGTAACTCTGGTAGTTCTACGACCATCACTGGCGCCCCCCGATGTCGGATGGTGGTGACGAAACCTGCAGTTTATCCACCGCCAGGTGAGGACGATTCTCTCATCCTTAATGAGCTCTCACAAAACGAGCAAAGTTTGGGTTAAAATATTTATTACGCAAATTGTCTTTTTGTTGACGAAGGTAAGTATCTCACTGCCTAGTAGATCGATCGCTCAAAGCGAGATACTGGAGTTCTTTTACTTTAAGTTCATTTAGCTCGAGACATTACCCAATATTGCGTAAGGCAGGATGTGGGAATACATATATAGAAGTGGGAACCTATTCTGGAGACGAGCTCTGTGACTTCTATTTGTTATCGATGATTTATTTCAATATGACCCATATCGGCGAATTAATCCGCTATACTAAACTACTGATTGTTAACGTAACAAACGATCAAATCCTCATTTGAGTCACAAATCACTTCATTATTTATCATAAACATCAGTCAGTGACCTGGTCACTTGTCAACCAAGACTCAGAGCCTGTGTTGGTGTGCAGATCCGCTGCGGTCGCTGAAGGAGCTGCGCCGCCTGTCCATCCGCGCTGCCCTCGGCCACTGCAGGATTGAGGAGAAGACGGAAGGCTTGCGAGGCGTCTAGCCCGCCACTCTCAGGGAATACCTTTACTTTCGCCACGACTTCTCCATTTTCCCTGTGAGGAGAAGACGAAAGGCTTGCGAGGCGTCTTGCCCGCCACTCTCAGGGAATACCTTTACTTTCCCCACGACTTCTTTATTTTCCCTGTGAGGAGAAGACGGAAGGCTTGCGAGGCGTCTTTCCCGCCACTCTCAGGGAATACCTTTACTTTCGCCACGACTTCTCCATTTTCCCTGTGAGGAGAAGACGGAAGGCTTGCGAGGCGTCTTTCCCGCCACTCTCAGGAATACCTTTACTTTCCCCACGACTTCTTTATTTTCCTTGCGCCCGCCAATTGAAAGGAAAGTTTGACGCATCCTCAGACTCTAGCAATTTGTTACGCTTCACCTCAGCATGAGTTTCCTGCTGGTAATTAATAATTTCTCTAATTTTTAGGCGCTGTAATCTTACCAAGGATCACGAGTCTCTGAATTATTCGGTTGATGTTTTTTCCGGAATAATTATTCCAGTAATTTGCACGAAATGTTTTATTCTTGGATTTCAGGGTAAATTTCTTGTATTTAATGAGAAACTCTTTAACCGTTTGTCTTGACCAAAGATGAACCACGTCAGTCCTGCTTCTATTTAAAACAGGTGACAGGAGCTGCTGTTGACCTGTCACTGTTGCCTTGCTGTCTAGTCGTGGATCCGAAATGAAATCTACAGCACTTGTCTAGAGCTTTGTCGATAGTTTTTAGATGTCATTATTGAAGTACTAGCCTTCAGTATTTCAGTTGTTAAACAATTGAGTTTTTTAATATTTACTAAAAAAGTTTAATTCTGATTATCTTCAATTTATGTTCGTACGCATTCTCTCTCTGATCTAATCAAGTCCAGGTTCTAAGACCAACATTTTAACACTACGTTTGCCGGGGTCCACACTGGGTGGACATAAAGCCACAGGTCTGCCTGATGGATAACCTGTTAGGTGCCTTGTTGGTTAGGTTTTTAGCTTCTTGGTACAGGAAGCTAGTCAGTGCTTCCTTGAGAGAGATCAGTTCTCTAGTAGGAGATATTCCTTGTTCACTGAATTTGGAGATTTGCCGCGAGTCCGGCCGTAAATTTGTCCGAGACGTGAATCAAGTCGCGTACGACAAAAACTAATATGATGAACTAAATTTTCTATATAATTTTATTATTGCTAAAATTACAAATAGTGCAAAACTTTTAGTAATATAATATAAATTCTCAACGCATAAATGACTGTAACAATGTGTCTACTTAACAAGTAATAAATAAGATAGAAATAAATTGATCCCGTAACTGTTGCCGTTGGTATTCCTTCAATATTCTTCGATAAGTGATTCATAGCTGAATAAACAATCATCAAACGAAACACTGAAACATACCCTCATGTGTTGTTCAAAAAAAATAGGAACTGAGTGCAGAACAATCGCTCCCACTCTCGTGTTGAGGAGCGAACGTACCGAGAACTGTTGCCGCCTCAACTTGTACTGTCTTATCTTCACTCACCGACACTTCCACCAACTCGCCTGCGCACGGAACGCAAAACCTAACTTTACGCTCAACTCGCCCAGTCATAACTCCTTCAATGCTGAACGGGTTTCATTCAAATTTGAAATATAAGTAGGTATTACCAACGCGCTGCGATAAAAATTATAAAATATTTTACAATAATTCTTTTTTTTATTAGGAAATAAAACTAGATTTTAAAAATAGATTGAAAAATTATGTCGCAGAATTTTATTCGTAACTGGAATAAGCTCACTGTAACATGCATAAAAAATCTCCTCGAACCTGCCACAGAAGTTACGTTCCGTGGTGTTTCCCTCTGTAGTTTATCCTTTCGGTAGCCTATGCAATGCCTCCATCTTTCTGTTTATGGCATTTCCATCAATAATTCCTCAAATTTCTTTACTTTAATCTCGCTAGTCAAGCACAACTCCGAAATATTGAGAATAATCGTGACGTGATTACAGGAAATCAGCATTCAATCTCGTCAAGCAAGCTTAGCTTGAAACGCTTCCCACATTGTTTCTATTCAGGATCTTCTGTTGCTGAAAGTTACAACTATCTATGAACTCGCTCATGAAATTGACATTAATATTTTCTGAATTTCCAGACACTTCTGATCCAATCCTTCGAATTTTCCATCGATTTGGCCACAGAAAGCGCGGGACAATGTATGACCAAGGATCGCTCTGATTATTATTGTATTTTTTAAGAATATTTAAGTTACATCAAATGTTACGTAGAGCGCCGGTAGACAGACGTAGAAGACGGTATTATTTTGAGGGGAGGCAATCCTATACCAGCTGTGAGCAGCGCAGGCGGCAAATTCTTATAGTTCCTCCTCGGCAAAAACTCAATCTCAGCACATTAGTCGAACAATAATCATCATGATGAAGTTTGTACACTACCAACTGAAGGTTCCTTTGATGGTACATATGAACTGCAGCTCTAGATGGAGGCATCACAAATAACATTCAGGAGTAAAACTACTTTGAGATCCCGTCATGAAGATTTTATTAAAGTAGAAAAATACATATAAAAACTAATAAGGAAAGTATACTAATAATAAGAAAACAAAACTAATAAGGAAAGTATACTAACTAATAACAAAACAAAACTAAATCACAGCCAGACGGTGTTGAAAATGCATTAATAGTAGCTGAAAAATCAAATACAATAAAGTAAGTCCGAGCAAAAACTTGAGATAGAACATAGTTCTTGTAAGTGCACGCATCACGCCGCACGCTCCGTCACTTCTGCATCACGCGGCACCATCAGTACACGCACCGCTCTGCGACTCATCCGGTCACCGATGTCTAGGACAGCACACTTCCTGAGGGAATACCAGCTTAGAGTTATTGCCTGCCCTGCAGTGTTATTGACAGACCTGCAGTGTTATTGACAGACCTGCAGTGTTATTGCCAGACCTGCAGTGTTATTGCCAGACCTGCAGTGTTATTGACAGACCTGCAGTGTTATTGCCAGACCACAACAGTCCCTGGTTGTTCAAGAGTCGTCGTCTACTCACCTATCCGTTACTACGCGCCACACTTTTGTGCTGCGCGCTACGTGCGCTTCTCTCAAGTCGCTCGTCTTGATTCCTTCATCCTGCAGACGCTGCAAGAGATCTCGCAGGTCCTCATCACTCAGCATCTCATCGCTCAGCTCTTCATCGCTCAGCTCTTCATCGCTCAGCTCTTCATCACTCAGCATCTCATCACTCAGCATCTCATCGCTCAGCTCGCTCGAAACTAGCACCAGCCCCGAGAACCTGGACAGTTCAGTGTCATGAAGTTCGTTGAAGTTCAGTGTCATCACCATCACATGAACGAATAACATACAACATTAAAATATAAATGAGTATTTTACAAAATTAACTAAGAATTAATTTTAGAAAAAATAGATATATAAAAAATAAACGATAAATATCGATCCTTCATCGAGATATCACACTCATTGAAAAATGCTCATCAAGACGTCTCTCTCCTCGTCCTGCGAGGGTGAGGGAGTTACAAACCTCTTATC